GCGAAGAAAAGGTCTATACTTCGATTGATTCTGTGGTTAATACAGATGACGCTACAAATTTGTGGGTATTGACTTGAGAGAACATTGCTTCTCTCATGGACAGTTATGTGTTGCTTGCTCACCCAATAGCTTAATAGTTTTAGCGCCTAATGACAGATTAGTTAAGAATATTGTGTACAAAGAAGTTTCAGAGGCCATAATTTTTTACACACGCTAAACAAAAGTAAAGCCACAAAAACTATACCTAATCAACTATAACACCTCTTGATGCGAGCGAAGCCGCGGGCAAAATCTAGTCACACATATAATATTGTTGAGACTTTGTGTTGTTGAGCATATATCAAGAGGCAAATACAGGTTTAGTTGACGGTGGTTAACATGAGCCAACTTTTTAGAAGAAAAGTCGACTGAGGCAAGGTAAAATGTGCCAAAGTTAACTACACTCCCTCATCAGTTTCAATTCATTTTCAAGAATTCAACCAGAAACAAGAATTTTTAATTCAGAATACTAGCTTTCAAATCTGAAAATATCCAAAGTTCTAGCAGGATGGCTTCAACATTAGAATTTTATGATCTCTATGGTAAAATAGTGAAATTTTGCCAGTACCCTAACAAAAATTTAATCCCTAATGTTTATCAAAGGTGTAACAGGTTGTGAAACAGATATTATGTCACTTGAATGGCGATACTATATATATTGAGCCAAAACGGAGAATCTCAGGGTTTTATTATTGTAAATGAGTAAGGCTGGCAAAGAAAGTGAGAAACACTGTTTTCTATTTATTACTTATAATAGTTGTCGAAATTCGCAGCTTCAGCTCCACACTGAAAGAAGACATTTGTCTTACACAATGGAAGTTTCGGTCAGTTCGATAAATATTCGAAGATATAATGTGTTTTGTAGTTAAAAGAAGACTAGAAAATGGATGCAATACTAAGAAGCAAAACGCAAATAGCCATAAGGCTCAACTTTTGTATGAAACTGGAAAAAACGATGCCTTCACGAGTAGTTCACTCACCGAAAAAGGGTCAGATTCCTTTTCCGCCGATAAGATTGTTGTAAAAAACAACGTTAAACTTGGAGAATTCAATTAGCTGTAATTTGTACACAAATATCGATAAGGAAATATAATTCAAATATATATTCATCCTTTGATAAATTGTTTACAATGTCAATTTATCAGGTGATATTTCTATTAATCCGTTGGTGGAAATGGTGGGTTAATGAATTGTTCAGAACGATAGTAAACTATAAACAGGGTATATCTTGACGAGTCAACGTGATCTATATATATATAGAAAACTGAAAGTAGGGCGATTCTGAAGATTGATGGGATGGATGAAGAACTAATGGAGAATTCAACTGAAATATTTTCGTTGAGGTGACGTTTCGGGTTTCAAGTGACGTCATTTTTGTTAATTTTAATGACACACCCCGTATTTACCTTCATTTTTTAATTCTTTCCATGATTTAGGTTCTAACTGATTTATCATACCTTATACCCGAGTTTCTTTAGAAAAAGTGATAGATGCAGCCTCTCGAGCATACGTCATTTTCATGTAAATTTATATTTTTAAAAATATGCAGCTAGTGAATCATGATAACTGAAGGTTGAACGGATCACGCATCATTTTCACGTCCACTGAATAATCCACAGGATGCGCAAAAATTGGGGCCAATAAGTGAATGAGAAAAAATAAAAATTTCAACTATTTCAAATGGGAATCCCCATTTTTTTCCTCAAGGTTCAATTCTATTATGAAAATAAGCCATAGTTATGATACACTTCTCTATACCCAAAACTTATAATTTTGATGATATTCCGCAATAGAAGTTATTATCACGCGAGGATTTACGTTTTTACCTCCCAATTTTTTCCGATAAAATTTCTTTGTTGTCTAGTTTCCATTGAATATTTCATAAAAAATAATCCATATTCAAGACAAAAATCATGATTAGAATAAACTACAATTTCAAATTTAGTTTCAATACTAAACAAGAGCATGTGACACTCTTTGTCAATCGTTTTTTTATCGCAGCAAATGTTCAAATACTTCGTCTCCAACTTCTAAGCATTTTACACTTCTTCGTATGACGTCTCCTACAGTTCGTTTATCATGTCCGGTGGAATAGAGTTGAAAGCAGTACGAACTCTCTGTTGAAAATATTCTTTTGTTGTTGGCGTGTTAGAATACAACTCGTTTTTTATATAACCCCAAATAAAAAAATCCATTGGAGTTAAATCGAGCGATCGCAGTGGCCATAATTAAGGACCGTCGGTTCCAAACCACTGGTCGTAATAAGTTTCTTCTAAATACATCTCCACCATCTGATGATTATGTGGAGGTTCTCCATCATGTTGACACTAGAAGTGAAGCATCACTATTGTGTCATCTTCAAGAGCGCAGTGAACATTGAAATTCCAACGGTCTTGAAATTGACGTTCCCGAACTGAATGCGGGTTTGTATCGCTCCAGTAGTGAGAATTCCGCTTGTTGAATATCCCATTTTTGGTAAATTTTGCTTCATCGCTCTATATAATATTCCTCAAAAATTGGTCATTTTCTTGATTTTTCATAATGAAGAACTTCGCAAAGTTAATTCTTCTCTCGGATAGCTTCAGGCCATGGACTAAAGTATGAGAATACGGATGCCATTTATGTTTTGCTAATATTCTCTGCATGGACATTTTATTCGATTCCAAATCTCGTGCCGCATCTTTCAAAGATGCTTCTGAAAAAGCAGTGAAGTACCCAAGCACTGTAATCGCATTATCTTCATTGTCAACCACCGTTTTAGTTTTGATAATTTTCATTTCGAATGATCCAAAGTTCGTAAGATTGAAGATTATTCTTCTAATGATATCTGGAGATGGTTTCGGTTTTTCTGGATACCTTGTAGCATAAGCATCACATTTTCTTGTTAACACCTTATTGTATTCGCCATTAATCACCAATAACTTGAAGAAATCGTGATTATTATAACCAGCACGAGCCATATTGTACCTTCTGAGAGCACGAATCTGACAATAAACAACTTTATTTCACTTGTCACAAAACATTGTTTTGGAAGATGGACAGCAGCCTAGTAGAAATATCAACATTTCGAGAAAGTATATAAATAATGGAAATCTCCAAAATTATATAAGTTTTGGGTATAAGGAAATGTATCATAAATAGGGCTTATTTTCACAATGGAATTGAACCTTGAGCAGAAAAGTGGGGTTTCCCATTCAAAAAAGTTGAGATTTTTAATTTATCTCATTCACTTATTGGACCCTGGTTTTTGCGCACCCTGCGGATTATTCAGTGGACGTAAAAATGATGCGTGATCTGTTCAACCTTCAATTATCACGATTCACTAGCTGCATATTTTTAAAACTTTTAATTTACATGAGAATAACGTATGTTCGAGAGGCTGCATCTGTCACTTTTTCTAAAAAAACTCGAATACAGTTCATTTTGGATGAAGGCTATGATACATAAGTTAGAATCTGAATCACGGGAAGAATTCAAAAATGAGGGCTATGCCATTAAAAATAATAAAGATGACGTCACTTCCGTTGAAACCCGAAATGTCACCTAAACGATGATATTTCATATGATGCACTGTTTGTGTAGTAATGAATATTACTGGAGTTTTTTCCCAACACCAAATCGTTATTTTTAACACCCCGACACGTGTTTCAATCACCAAGTGATCATCTTCAAAGTGGAATATTAACACTAGAAATTAATGCGAAGCTAACCCTATTTATGCTATATAGGTATCCCATACAGGTAAACGATCCAGGTGTACCACCCATACAGGTATACCAACCTAAATTAATTTTACAATTTTGCCTTATCTATTATTTTACAATATATGTTTATATGAAAACAATTTTCAGCTATATAAAAATTAATTTCACAATATTGCCTACCCAAATTTAATGTTGCATTGTGTCCTTATGTAGTAGTAATCAGTAAACCCAACAATATTATTTCATTTTAACAAGCTATATAGTGTGCTCTTTGGTCCGTCATCGTTATTCATAATATTATTGTGTTTACTTATTTCTACACTCTCATAGGCATCTAGTTGCCTGTTGTTGTTAACTTGTCTAACTACATCATATTTTGCAACAAAACCATTCCATAGACTTCAGTTCATTAAGATTAGTTAGACAAGTTGACAACAACAGACAACTAGATGCCTATGAGAGTGTAGAAATAAGTAAACACAATAGTATTATGAATAACGATGACGGACCTATACCAAAGCTATATAGCTTGTTAAAATAAAATAATATTGTTGGGTTTATTGAGTACTACATAAGGACACATTGCGAAATGAATTTGGATAGGCTATATTGTGAAATTAATTGTTATATAGCTGAAAATTGTTTTTATATAAACATATATTGTGAAATAATAGATAAGGCAAAATTGTAGAATTAATTTTGGTTTGTATGCCTGTATGGGTGGTACACCTGGATCGTTTACCTGTATGGGTTATCTTCACATTAATTTCTAGTTTCTTCCTCTTTGAAGATGATCACTTGGTGATCGAAACACGTGTCGAGGTGTTAAAAATAACGATTTGATGTTGAGAAAAAACTCCAGTAATATTCGATAATATTTCAGTTGAATTCTTCACCAGTTCTTCACCTATCCTACCAATTTTCAGTATCGCCCTACTCTCAATTTTCTATATAAAGATTGCGTTAACTCGTCAAGATATACCCTGTATAATTATTTGTCAGATAATTGGAAAATCACAGCCCAATTCTGCATTATGAAGCCTTCACGGTACAGGAAATGAAGTAAGGGAATATATACAGATTTTGTTCAGTTTAGAAAACTTTGTTTGAATAACGTTGCTCAAAAAAATGAGAAAAAGCGAGATACCTAGTACTAGCTGATTGTAATTTTTTCAATATGAAATGAAGCATGCCTATTTACAGTGTTAGCATCGATTTCAAGCATAGGGTTAGTAATAACTACAATAAATTGCTTACCAACTGATGTTTGAAATGCAAATTTCTATCGAAATGATCCCATTTCTGAACCTCTTTGACAACATTTTGTCCCGGGCTCATTGTGTTCTTGGTTTGATTATGACAAACCACAATGTAATCATCGTCCAGGTACTTTTTCTCAACTCCGTCTTTTAAGAGAGCTTTCGCTGCATCAATCATGAGAGAATTCATTTCGTCGATAACGTAGTTTCCAATAAAAACTATATCCACGGTGTTGTTTCTTTCCTGGGGTTGAACTCCCCATCCCCTTCCTTCGAATATATTTCCATCACCGCTGATGAGGAAGTTACAATAAATGTCAGGCCATCCATTTGTAGCACTCAAACTTTGTAAATCACTGACAATTTTGGAACAAGCTACGAAGTTATCACAATATCCTCCGGCGGTATGTTTTATTATAACCATATGTACAGGACCAGTAATATTCGTATAATGTTTTGGAGGTCTTGCGCCCCAGTCGCTTCTTACGAATAATTGATGACTTCCAATATGATTATTTTGAGCAATGCTTGGTTGCACGTACTTGTCTTCCGGTTTATTAAGAACGAAAATCACGATAATGGTTCCCATAAGAAGAAGAAATAGAGCTAGCAACAGCCACAAAAAAGCTTTTATTAGTGTCTTTCGTTTATTAACATCTATGTGTTCTTGCTCTTCTGATTTTTCTGTCCGAGGTAATTTGGCTACAAAGAGAAAAATACTGTATTAACTGATTGGATCTGTGAATTGTTCCAATAATTGTTTGAACACCAATTATTACTTCACGTTTTATTTTTAGAATCAAATAAATTACGGGATAAACGCAAAAATTCAACGAATCAATGAGCCTACAGGGTGATTCTTGCGACTGCGTCGAAGATATTGAGAAAAGTATAAAATGGAAATTTTTTTAAATTTGACCGTATAATAATGAAATTTGTAACAATTTTCAAAGAAACATCTACTTTTATTACGGATTTGTCATCTACATCATATTCTACATTAATTTATAAGACTTCTCCAAAATATTTGATATTATTTATATGTTCAGGGCTGTTCAAATTCGTTTCTGTACATGGAGATCTCGTAAACGATAAGAGATAGGGTGTCGGTTGAATCGTGACAAAGTTGCGTAATTCAGAGACCTATTCAATGATGTGAAGAAATCGAATATAGCTCTTTTGGTTCTGGAGATATACAGGAAAAACCAAAAAATCCCAAATTATTTTTTTGAAGAGCCCAATACTATGAACAAACGAATAGATATCAATCATCTTAGTACAGTATATACCTATTTATTACATTTGGAAATAAATATAAGTAAGTAACATCATTGGGAATTTTCCATCATGTATTTCTTTTTTCAATTTGTTAAGTCAAACATGAATTTTCTCTGACATTTTGTTATAAATCGAACATAACTATAATTCCATGAACATCAACTATTTTTTTTCAAAATTGTTAAACAAAGTTATATCAGTTTTGACAACTATTATGTTTTGACAAAATTTTTTTACAAACTCACTATAATTATTTTATACAGTGTTCCTATCCAACCCATGGCCAACCCAACCCAACCCAACCCAAAATCGGGAAAATTTTGGAAAACGGATTTTCCGGAAAACCACTGTATATTTTCTTATATTTACTGTAAGTATCAATATTAACCTTTTTCTGTTAATATTAAACCAAATTGTATTTTAGATAGCCCTGAAGAAGCTTAAAAATAAAGCGAAAGCTTGGCAAATATTGTAAATAAAAACCGCTTTTTCGAATGTTTTTTCACATGATTTGACTGCTGAACCCACGGAACCAAAGAAATATACATATATATGATATATGAAATATGATAAAGAAAATAAAAGATCTAGTAATTCGAGTATCATTCAGAATTTTCCCACTTAACATTGTCAACTGAAAAATGTTTATCAACTGTCATTATTTCATGTTTTTCTACCTGTTTTTGAACCTTTTTATATTTTATCACGTTAGTAAGTTCTCCATATTTATATATTTTTTACAAAATATATAATCTTATTATTGTAGTTGTCCTGACGAAGGTGTGAAGGTGTGACCATTGAAGAAGCCCACAAGAAGCCCCGAGTCTGGTTGAGACACGTGGACAACACCTTCATAATATGGAACCATGGGAATGCAGAACTAGACATCTTCCTGAAGCACATCAACAACTTGAGTCCTTCCATCACTTTCACAATGGAGAAGGAAGTCCACAACGAATTGCCATTCTTAGACCTGTCAGTGAAGAGGACTGACACTAAATGGAAAACATCTGTATATTGAAAACCCACTCACACGGGACAGTATCTGAACCAGGAATCCAACCACCATCCATCGAATAAGAGAGGAATCATCAAGACCCTCCCAGACCGTACTTTCGGGCTCTGTAATAGAAAGGAAGGTCTAGAAAGGGAACTAGGCATCATCAAAAATGACATTCAACTGAATGGTTACTACAAAGTGATAATGGAACAGGATTTAGCTGAAAGACAGCAAGAGTTCCACAAGAAAGAGAAGCCGTCACAATCAGTACTTGTATTTTCCTACATTAGAAGATTATCGTAAGGGATGAGAAGGATTGGCTCCAAGTATAATATCAGAACCTGCTTCAGATCTGGGAACACTATCCGTAGCAGCCTCACGGAAACCAGACCACCAAACGCAGACTGCGATTCCAAGAATTGCATTTACCGGATACCCTGCGAGTGCGGAGAATCATACATCGGTGAAACTAAGAGGCCATTGAAAGTTCGCACTGCCGAACACAAGAAACACGCACAGCGAGGAGAAACCAGCAAATCCGCAATAGCAGAGCACGTTTGGACTCATCAACATAACAACAAGTGGGCTCAAGCTGAAATCATCCACAAGTAGGAACACTGGTTTAGGATAAAATTCCAAGAAGCCGCATATTTGTAGTCTATCAACGAATTTAGTCAAGCTAGCGTAGAGATACGTAACATATGGAAAACTCTAATCAAGAGGAACATAACCAACTTTTACCAAACGGTCAGCTTCCGCTAAAACCGATGAAGCGGAGAGAGGGAAGAGGAGATAGGTGAATGACCTATAAATAGATCTCGGAGGAATAAGTCCAGTTATCACCCGAAGACGATTGTGGATACTAACAATCGAAACGTCGTGAAGTAACTTGCTTTGGAATCTTTTAATTTTCATTTTTCATTTCTTGTTAATGATTTTTTATTTTTCATCTCGTGTTGATAGTTCAAATTTTTTATTTTTTAAAATTTTATTCCACTGTGATATCAGTTTTTTGCGTAAAATGATTGTTATTTTTCAGCTAATCTGTGAAGATTCCTGCACTGACGTCTGTCGGAGATAATCCAACGCTCTTCGTGGTATTAGCCAGGAGGATAGTTGTTTTCCGATAGGCGTCAGTCCATTCAACCTACTGTGTTGGTATATTCGAGATTGGCTTGAACGTTTAAAATTCATACCTTTAGATTTGTTTACTGAAATTTTAACTTCAAATTATCTCGAAAACTAATCGTTACAAAAATTTTCTTTTGACACAATTGTAAAGGTATTCGGAAGACCTTCAAAACAAGGTGCCACTCGACCTACTTTCCCTATCTAAATAAGGGTCGTCAGACGCACCCCTCCGAGGGGGTGCGTACTAAAAAAAATCTAATTAGTCTGAAAGGTGTCCTCCGTTAATTAGAAATCGACGTGTCGACGTGTCTTGGAAATTTCACTTCTTATATTAAAAAACGGCTGTGTTAAGTTTTTGTTGTTACACACTGTATAGTTATTTCAAGGCATACAGTGATACAGAAGCCAAACAGTTTGAAAATTTATATATGCTTCCAGATTCATTTTTACAAAGTATCATTCATCTAGAGACAGAATTTCCTTACCATTTATATAATTTATGTGCCATATCAAATACGTTTGATATGGCAGTCAATCAAATACGTTTGCAAATATGTTAATGAAGGGTCAGACCAGGCTACGTTTACTTTAGAGAACGAGAAGGATGGAAAGGATGAAGTTACAACCTACCCAAGTGAAGCAGTTTGGCGAAACTTTGAATTCCCAATACATGAGCGTTTTTCTCCTGTAGTGCATCTTGCTGTCCATTTAGAAAATCGACAGAAATTTATTTCAATGAGCAGAACTTGTGCGACAAATTGAGTAGTCCTCCTACATCTACACTCCTCTCCTTTTTCGATCTGTGTAACGTGGATGACTTCGCAAAAACTTTGCTATACTCGGAAGTCCCTGCGTTTTACGTTGGGAACAAGCGATCGTTTCAGAGAAGGAAGAGAGAAGATAATGTTGAAGGATGTTCAGGGTTCAAAAAAGAACACGTTCTAGGTGAGGTTTATACTGTTCATCCAAACAATACAGAATGCTACCACCTTCGAATGCTTCTACATGAAATCAGAGGCCCAATTTCATTTGAAGCATTGGAAACTGTAGATGGTCACTTACATCCCACTTTCCAATCCGCGTGCAAGGCTCTAGGTCTACTCAAAGATGATCAAAATTTGGATTTAGCTCTTGAAGAGGCAGCACTTTGTCAAACACCGCATATGATTCGAGAGCTTTTTGTTATCATTTCATTGTTCTGCCAGGTTTCCGACCCCCTATGTCTTTGGGAAAAATACAAAGAATATCTTTCTGAAGACTTTAAAAAACAACTGCATAGGCAAGGTGACGTGGATGTAGAGCACTCATCGGACCTGATATTTAACAAATGCCTGTTGGTATTAGAGGATGCCGTATTATCATTAGGCGGCCGTCCTTTTAGAGAGTATGGATTACCTCAGCCAATAACATAAATTGATTTCGAAAATAGAGAGTACGCGAAGGAGACTAGTTACGATACAGTGTCCTCAGAAGACGCAGTAAGAAAAACTGAAGCATCCTTGATTGACGAGCAACAGGAAGTTAACAATAAAATTATCCCAAGTGTAGATGCAAATGACGGTCGAATATTCTTCTTAGACGCTCCAGGTGGAACTGGTAAAACTTTCCTTATTAATTTACTTTTAGTGAAAGTAAGAAGTACCCACGGCATTGCCCTGGCTGTGGCATCGTTCGGCATAGCTGCCACTCAATTCAATCACTGCCGAGACTCCCATTTGCAACATCTCCAAACAAAGTAATTTTGCTGAAGTATTGAACAGTACAAAAATAATTGTGTGGGACGAAATAACGATGGCTCATAAAGGTAGTATTGAAGCCTCAAACAGATCACTAAAGGATATAAGGGA